GGTGAGACCTCAGAGAGGAAGGAATTTTCTGTGATGCTAACTTCTGCTGGTGGTGGCGCCTGGTAGGTATAGAAACTGGATTCTGAGAGCCAGGCCTGGCCTTGAACCACCCAACTCTGGGCCATTTGTGAGAGAAATCCCTGAGTGCTATCAGATGGGTGAGTCGGGACTGAGTGATGGTGGCGGGGGAGATGGGGGAGGCTGGCAAAGACACCTCCTCAAGGAAGGAAGGGTCTGCAGTGATCTAGCCAGGCCCAGCCTCCATGAGCAGCCACCTGCCTGTCCTGGTGTCATCACACCTTCCTTCTGCTCTAGGGACATGTGGGTGTTCGGGGATTTGCCACGCTGTGCTGAGTGCAGGCCACAGGGTGTAGGTTCTTGTATTTGACTGGGGGATAGAGAAGGAAGCAAGCGTGGAGACTCAGAAGTCTGGAGATGCAGCCAAGGGGTGTTGGCAAAAGCAGTGCCTGGGGAAGCCACCCAGCCAGGGGAAACCACCTCCTTCTCCTGGGGTCAGGTCAGGGGCGGGTGGGCTTTTATAAAAGGGATCCCCAAAAACCAGAATTATCTTTTGGAGGGCGGTCTCCTTGTAGTCCAGGCTTGCCCCACTAGGTAGGTGTTCTAGGAACCCAGCAGTATCCCTGTACCAGCTAGCGCTGTGTTTCAAGAGGCTGTGTTCAGCTTCAGTAAGTTTTTTTTGTTGTTGTTTAGAGTCTCACTGTGTCACCCAGGCTGGAGTGCAGCAGCATGCTCATGGCCACTGCAGCCTCTACCTGCTGGGATCAGGCGATCCTTCCATCTCAACCATCCAAGTAGCTGGAGCTACAGGTGTGTGCCACCACAGAGTGGTGGACTTCAGCAGAGATGCCCAGACTCCCCTAATCTCCTCCTCATGTTCACCTTTTGAGACCCCTCCTCTTCCTCCATTTTCATACACAGTACCCTTTCTTTTTTTTTCCCTCATAATTTTCTTATGATGTATTTTAAGCATCTAGAAAACCACATGTAATACCAAAACACTCAGCCTTTCCAATCATACCATTCATTTTAGGGAATTAAATCTGGCAGGACACAGTGGCACACCCCTGTAGTCCAAGCTACTCGGGAGACTAAGGTGGGAGAATCACCTGGGCCCAGGAGTTCTGGGAGGACTGGTGTACTATGCCCACTAGGTGTCCTGGGAGCAGGGGGAGGGAGGGTGGGAGACACCTAATTGCCTTAGAAGGGGTGAACCAGGCCAGGTGCGGTGGCTCACGCCTATAATCCCAGCACTTTGGGAGGCCAAGGTGTGAGGATTGCCTGAGCCCATCGTTTGAGACCAGCGTGGGCAACTTGGCAAGACCTCATCTCTACAATAAATCAAAAAATTAACCGGGCGTGTTGGCTCATGCTTTTTTTTTTTTTTTTTTTGGCTCTTGCTTTGAGCCCAGGGGCTCAAAGTTGGGATATGTACATATTTATCTTTGTCTTTGTGTTGGGCAAGTTTGGCATGGGTTTAAACTTCATATACAGGATGTAATGCTCTTTGATTTACCTTTTAAAATTTTTTTACAAAAAGATTTTTGTTCTTTGATGTTTACATATATGTTTATAGCTCTGGTTCAGTAATTTTAACTGCTGTGAAGTATTCTGCGCTTCAGTTTATTTATCCATTCTTCTATTAATGGGCATTTCAGTGCTCATTATTTGGTGTTCTTACAAATAATGGCCCAGCAAATCTTGCAAAAGTCTTGCACCCGTGTGCGAGAGTTTAGAGTACATATCTAGGTTTGTGTATCATTGACCCTACATGTTAGGCCAACTTGTTTTTCTTATTTTTTCTTTTTAAGTGACTGAATGCGTTTTTTAAAAAATTATAAAGATGTGGGGTACAATTCAGGGTTAGGTATACAAACATTGATTATATAGGTACCCTTGTTGATGAGGTATGCCCCTCCCTCCCGTAGCAGTTTCCCTCAACTGACAATCCCAACCCCTTCCCCTGACAGTTTCCCACTACAGCCAATCCCTTTCTTATAGTATTATAATAATATACACAATGGAATATTATGCAGCCATAAAGAAGGACACGCATATGGACTTCGCAGCAACTTGGATGGATTTAGAGTTAATCATACTCAGTGATCTATCACAGAAACAGAGAACAGAGTACCATATGTTCTCATAAGCGGACCTTGAACAACTTGTTTTTCAAAGTGGCCAATTCCACAGATAATATTCCCCCAATAGCATTATGTATGCTGTGGTTTGAATGTCCCCTCCATACTCCCATTATCACAGTCTTAAGAGATGGTACTTTTAAGAGGTGATTGGGTCATAAGGGCTCTTCCCTCAGAAATGAGTTAATGCCATTATCCCTATAGTGGGTTAGTTATTGAAGGAGTATGTTCTTGACGCAAAGAATGAGTTTGGCTAATTTCTTCTCTCTGCCTCTACTCCTTTCTGCTTCAGTCATGGGATACACCAAACCAGATGCCAGTGTCATGCTCTTGGACTTCCCAGGTTCTAGGACCATGACTAAATAAACTTCTGTTCCTGATACAATACCCAGACTGACAGACTAAGATGGAGGATATTCTGTTTTCCTGCATCCTGGGATGTTTGGCATTGTCAGAATTTTTTTTTTTTTAGTTTGCCACTGAAGGGAGGATTGCTTGAGGTCAGCTTATGACCAGTGCCTAGACAACAAAGCAAGACTCCATCTCTACAAATAATACAACTAGTAATAATTTTATTTTACTTATTTTATTTATTGTTTAGTTGAAGTCTCACTCCATCACCCAGGTTGGAGTGTATGACATGCTTACAGTCACCCCAGTGTCAATCTGCTGGACCTCAGTCTTTCAAATAGCCAGAACTACAGGCACGTGCTACAATGCCTGGCTAAGTTTTGATTTATCATAGAGATTAGGTCTTGCCAAGTTTCCTGGGCTGTCTCAAGCCCACGGGCTCAGGCAGTCCACTAGCCTTGGCCTCCCAAATAGCTGGGATTACAGGCTAGGTCACTGAGCTCAGCCAATAATAATTTTAAAATTAAAACTATAGCCGGGCTTGGTGGCTCAGCCTGTAATCCCGTACCTTTGGGAGGCTGAGGTGAGTGGATTGCCTCAGCCTGTGGGTTCGAGACCTGCCTGGGCAACTTGTCGAGACCTCATCTCTACAATAAATCAAAAAACTAGCCGGGCGTGGTAACGCACGCCTGTAGTTCCAGCTACTTGGAAGGCTGAGGTGGAAGGATC